CATTCCCAGGCCACATTCGGAATAACAGGATGCAAGAGTCATGCACTTCGTGCTCCGAGACCTCCCAGAACGTCATTCCCAGGCTACATTTGGAAAAATCGCACACAACAGGTATACACGCCGGGCTATCTGGCTGTCTGGAACGGCAATCCCGGGATACATTCAGAGTAATTACCTAACAGCGAAGACTGATAGGTTTCTAATGGTGTAAAAAGAGAGCAGCAGATGACTCCACAGGGGGGTCTGGGCAGCCGTTGGGGAGGTGTTGGGGGGCCGTTGGGGGGCCGTTGGGGATTGCCGGGGAACCTTGTTTTTCGCAAACAGTCACACACTTCGTGTTCTTCGACCTCCCAGAACTCCATTCTTCGACCTCCCAGAACTCCATTCCCGGGCCACATTCTGAATGCCCGGAGCCAACTGTAGGCCACTTCGTGGTCTTCGAGTTCCCAGAACTCCATTCCCGGCGTACATTTTGGATGACCGGAGCCAACTGTAGGCCACTTCGTGGTCTTCGAGTTCCCAGAACTCCATTCCCGGGCCACATTTTGGATGCCCGGAGCCAACTGTAGGCCACTTCGTGGTCTTCGAGTTCCCAGAACTCCATTCCCGGGCCACATTTTGGATGCCCGGAGCCAACTGTAGGCCATTTCGTGCTCTTCGAGTTCCCAGAACTCCATTCCCGGGCCACATTTTGGATGCCCGGAGCCAATTGTAGGCCACTTCGTGGTCTTCGAATTCCCAGAACCCCATTCCCGGGCCACATTTTGGATGCCCGGAGCCAACTGTAGGCCACTTCGTGCTCTTGGACTTCCCAGAACTCCATTCCTGGGTATGATTTTGAATGCCCGGAGCAAACTGTAAGCCACTTCGTGTTCTTCGAGTTCCCAGAATTCCATTCCCTGGCCACATTTTGAATGCTGAGGCAGGCTGATGCTGAGGCTGAGGCAGGCTGAGGCAGGCTGAGGCTGAGGCCGAAGCTGAAGGCAGACTCAGGCTGAGGCTGATGCTGGCTGAGGCTGAGGCTGAAGCAGGCTGAGGCTGATGCAGGCTGAGGCTGAGGCAGGCTGAGGCTGAGGCTGAGGCTGATGCAGGCTGAGGCTGAGGCAGGCTGAGACTGAAGCCGAGGCTGAAGGCAGATTGAGGCTGAGGCTGAAGAGGCCGAGGCTGAGGGTGAGGCTGAGGCAGGCTGAGGCTGAGGCTGAGGCAGGCTGATGCTGAGGCAGGCTGAGGCTGAGGCTGATGCAGGCTGAGGCTGAGGCAGGCCGAGGCCGAGGCCGAGGCTGAAGGCAGACTGAGGCTGAGGCTGAAGCAGGCTGAGGCTGAGGTTGAGGCAGGCTGAGGCTGAGGCTGAGGCTGAGGCTGAGGCAGGCTGAGGCTGAGGCTGATGCAGGCTGAGGCAGAGGCAGGCTGAGACTGAAGCCGAGGCTGAAGGCAGATTGAGGCTGAGGCTGAGGCAGAGGCAGGATGAGGCTGCGGCTGAGGCAGGCTGATGCTGAGGCAGGCTGAGGCTGAGGCTGAGGCTGATGCAGGCCGAGGCTGAGGCAGCCTGAGGCTGAGGCGAGGCTGAAGGCAGACTGAGGCTGAGGCTGAAGCAGGCTGAGGCTGAGGCTGAGGCAGGCTGAGGCTGAGGCTGAGGCAGGCTGATGCTGAGCCAGGCTGAGGCTGAGGCTGAGGCTGATGCAGGCTGAGGCTGAGGCAGGCTGAGGCTGAGGCCGAGGCTGAAGGCAGACTGAGGCTGAGGCTGAAGCAGGCTGAGGCTAAGGGTGAGGCAGGCTGAGGCTGAGGCTGAGGCAGGCTGATGCTGAGGCAGGCTGAGGCTGAGGCTGAGGCTGATGCAGGCTGAGGCTGAGGCCGAGGCTGAAGGCAGACTGAGGATGAGGCTGAAGCAGGCTGAGGCTGAGGCTTAGGCAGGCTGAGGCTGAGGCTGAGGCAGGCTGATGCTGAGGCAGGCTGAGGCTGAGGCTGAGGCTGATGCAGGCTGAGGCTGAGGCAGGCTGAGGCTGAGGCCGAGGCTGAAGGCAGACTGAGACTGAGGCTGAAGCAGGCTGAGGCTGAG